GTGTTGTTGGGATTTTATCACCCTGTATTGATGGGCCCGTAACTTTCTGACCAGTGTCCTTTGGGGCTGCCACGTGCCACGCTTGGCACTTCCTGAGGGTGTGAGAGAGTCTGAGCACAGCCCCTGCAGCTGGCGAAGAAGGGCTCAGAACATGAAGAATGTCTTTGCTCACTAATAACCCAAGACAGCAAAGGCAGATTACAGATGTACCCCCTCTTTGTGGGGTCGCCCCTTTGGCGTGGCAGAAAAGTCAGCCTGTTTTAAGCTATCCAGATATCATCTTGGCAGATGTAAGGATTTGAGATGGTCTGATGCAGCACCAGCATTGCTCCCTGCCTGCCCCAAGCGGGGTCTCCACTGCCCCTGGATAGCGCAGGATGGAGGGGGGAATCTCAATTCAAGCACACTGCAAAATCCCCCCCAAGTGGCTAATTAAAGACCCACGCTTGTTTCCACTGATATCAATGGGAGCAGGATTAGATCTGAGGGGTCCGGCGACATCTTACACTGACAGAGCTTGTTACTGAATAAACTCTCACTGAACTGAGCTGAAGGACACCCGTGTGCTTTTCCCCGACTCCATCACTCACTACCCTGGGCCTCTCCGTACCAGGCCCATTCCCTGTCATGCAGTTGCAAGCCCCGGAACAACCTCCTCAAGGCTGTGTCCACTCAGTTCTGTCCCAGCTAGGAGCACAACCACTCCCTGCTGCTAACCGGGCAGCTGCCAGATGGCCTCCCAGACAGAGCAGCGAGACACGTACCTGTATATCAAGAGGGCAAGGTTTAGTGGGAGTGGTGGTGTACACAAGCACAACCTGGACAGCTGCTCTACAGAATTTGCATAGCTCTGCACCAATATTTTTTAGCCACAGCCAAGCAGCTCTCACCCCACCACACACGGCCCTGCGCAGTGCCACATCTTCTTATACCCAGTCACCACGTCAGACTGGAAACTCATTGGGCAGGGAACTCTTCCTGTTTCATTGTCTTTAGAGCATCGGGCACAGCTCTGATGGCGTTTCACAGATCTACTGACCGGCACCGATACGGAGTAGGTGGAAGATTGCTCCCCACTATGTTCATTTGCCTTCAGGGACCCCTGGAAGGTGGGGACTGGGATGAAGCAAAAGTGGGAAACCTTGGCTAGTTCTGAAGCATCCCCTTGAAACAGTACCGTCAATACCCGCTAGCATAGTGTCCCTTTGCCAGGCAGGAAGGCAGCAAGAAAATCTGAGCCTGGTCCCCAGGCCTGAATTGCTTTTTGCAAGAGCTAGACCTTGGCATTATGCACAGGATCAGTGGGTGCTGGAGGAAGCATTAGGCACAAAGTGCCAATGGCGTCCTCCTCTGCCACATGACCGTGCCAGGCACCTACCTCTTGTCTGTGCCTATACATTGGTGTCCAGATACCACATCAATGGTGCCCTGCCCGCCCTGTGCCTACAACACCTACTACCGGTTCTAGGGCAGGAGAAATGACTCCATCTGGGAAAGGAGCCCTCTCTCTTTTGGGGGGGCTTGGGTGCTAGCAGCAGGCGTTTCTCCTGGACGTACTGCAGCTTGTCTCTGGTAACCCATCAGAGCATGTCTATTTAAACTCCTGCCCTGCGTGTTGAATTTCCATTCAACCAGCTCTGCCTGAGCGTCTCTGGGGAAACACTTGTCTTGTGGCCTAGGAGGTTCCCCCGATCAGTGTAATTCCAGAGCACTCGGCTCAAAGCCCTCACGTGGCAATAGCCTCTCCTGGGTCTCCTGCTCAGAACCAGACCCCCCCGGGAGGATCACCCAGAACCAGACCACCGTGCCCCCCCCCCCGTCCCCCCAGGAGGATCACTCAGAACCAGGCTGCCCCCCCCCGGGGAGGATCACTCAGAACTAGGAGAAGGGGCTTGTTTTGCTGCTGTGCAGCTTCTTAGGCTCTTATCGCCCCCGAGCCCTGCGTGAGAGGGGCAGTGTCTCTCCACCTGCCTGTTTGGTACTATTACTGTACCCTGGCCAGATCAAACTGCACAGGACCAGACCCTGTCCTCCCACCAGAGCTAGCTGTCTCCTCCTCTTGGCTGGAGGGGTGACAGAGGAACGGGAGAGAGAGAGAAAGACAGCGACAGGCTGGCTGTGGCGACAAGAACGGGTCCACTTGCCAGGGCTGAGTTCTCGAGGGGCTGCAGCTGGAGACGGGTGAGATAGTATCTCTGATTGGACCAGCTTATTAGCTGTTCTCACGCCCAGAGACAGACCAAATGTGCCACAAAAACTCAAGTCTAAGGAAAGAAGGGGAAGGAAGCCGGGCAGGAGAGGCGAGGAACTCTGTGGGGTGGGAACTCCCCCGCTGCTTGATGCTTTGTTAGGGACACCGGAGCTCTGCGGACCTAGCTGGGGCTGGGTGTGAAGGAAGCTCTGCTGCTTGGTAACGGAGGGCAGGTCTGCACCACTGGAGTGTTTAAGTGAAGACTCTCCTACGCTCCCGTCAGTGCAATCCACCTCCCCGAGAGGCGGTAGCTGCCCCACTGACATAGCGCTGTCTACACTGGGGTTAAGTTGGTATAAAGTCACTCAGGGGGGTGGACATAGGTCTGTAGTGTAGATCTGGCCTTAGTCACTGCCAGCAAGAACTGTCCTTGGGGAAATGGAGGCAGGATGAGCCAAAAAATCCTTCCAAGGCAGAGGGGCAGACAGGGAAACCACCAGGCTCTTCCAAGGAGCACACAGAAAATCCACGTCCCTGAGCCACTCGCTAACAAGAGGCTCGGAAATGTTTTTAGCATCAAGTTTTAGCTTATCAAATAGGATACAACGGCAAGCGGGAAATGAAGGTTCTGTGCAAGCTCCCAAACTCCACTGGGATTCTCCAAGGAGCACCAGGTAACACAGCGACATGGGCTTCAGAGTCCAGAATGCTGCTCTAGGCTGCCCGGGGCAGCACCGTAGATGGGCATGGGGCCTGGCTGTCCAGTACCCCCAGCAGACGAAAGACAACTGGAACTAAACCCAGGTCTCCCACAGCAGTGCAGTCCCAATGCCTTGTTCTCAGCATCTCGCTCTGCTCACTGCTTTGCCTCATTCCTCCCAAGAAATTCTGATGAGTTTGCTGGCCTTGGAAGCATTTGGAGATCAATTACGGGACTTCTCCCTCCCTAGGAGGCACCTTGAAACACATTCAGGCCTCTGAGTTCTACATTCTGCTGGGCAACCTCGAGATGAGCAAGTCAGGCCCTCAGCAGCCAGTCAGATTCTCAGAGTACTGAGCCCACATATTAGAAACAGTCCCCAGCCCCAACTCCTCCCCAGCCACCCAGAAGAGAACAGGGTCCCAGAGAAGATCCTGCTGCCTGGGGAAACCCAGCTCCAATCTTTTCCCCTTCCCAGAGAGCTCCAGGATCCCCCCAGTACAGCTGGGCCTGGCCCAGCCCTTCTCTGGGGCTCCTGCCCAGGAGATCTCACCTGCGTCGTGTGAAGCCAGGGCCCTCAGCATCTTGCCGGCGCTGCGACGGATTTGCTTCTCCTCTTTCCACAGCTTCTTCATCAGCAGGTCCAGGGCCCCGGTCTCCTTGAAGACGCCCGTCAGCGAGCCAATGCTGGCGTACGCGCTCAGCACGTGGATGGTGTTGAGGATGGAGGACTCCGGGCCCGTGGGCCCGGCCATCTGCCGGCTAGCCCGCTGCACCAGGTTCCTGACGTCAGCCTTCATCTCCAGCAGCGAGGCCTCGTCCAGTGTGACGTCCGGAGGGAACGTGCTGGGCGCCTTCTCCTCCTTCACCCGCTGCCCCTCGGGCTTCCTCTTGCCCAGCAGTGTCGGGCAGTTGGCATACACCTCCTCTGCCGACATCCACATCAGGATGTTCTCCGCTTTGCTCTCCGCCGAAGAGGCATTGGTGCTGCTCCCTGGGCCCTCCTCCAAGCTGAGGATGCTCCAGCGAATCAGGTACTCGGTGTGGCCATCATGGCCCCGGCGCTGCCGGATCAGCTCCTCGGGGTGGGCCTGCAGCGTGGGCCCCAGGTGCACGAGCAGGTTTCCATTCCTCCTCTCGCCCACCATGACGGGGAATGTCTGTGCAGAGAGAGAGAGGCAGGAGCAGGTTATGATCCACCTAGGAACCCCGGTCGAGAGCTCGGGGAGAGAGCTCTCCAGGGAAGAACCTCTGAGACCCAGCTGGTAGGAGAGGGGACTAGAGATGGAGAGCTCTGCATGTTCTCCCCCCAGCCCTGCCACCGACCTGCTATGTCACCTTAAGCAAGTCACCACCTCTGTTTTCCCTCCCACACTTGATCTGACTTGTGTGTTTGGACTGTAAGTTCTTCAGGGCAGAGACAGCCACTCCCTGTGTTTGTACAGCAAATAGCTCAACATTCGCCATCATTCCCCAAGGGGAAAAGTCATTAACAGAATTTCCTAGGTTCAATACACATACAGTAAATGAATCTCACTGAATAAATCAATTCCCACTGACCCAGTCATTCCCTAAACTGCATGCAAACTGTCTGAGTTTTCCTGGTACTGAACAGGAAGGTTCACCAGAGCCAGACCTCACATCGAGGCAAGTACCATGGACATGATACCTTGACACATGCGGACCAAGAAACTCAATTTGCTTTTCTATTGCCATTTCTGCATTTCAAGCGCCTCTCTGGCTTGCAGCCTTATTTATGGCTGGGGGCCAGCGGCCAGCCTGTGAGAGGAAACTTCCTATCAGTATGAACAGATAGGACATGCGCTGTGCGAAGCACTGTTCTCAAAGATCCTGGGGACCAGACTGCATGTAAAGCACCAATCTCTGTACTATTCATGATGCTGGGTTACATTCATTAACACGGAGAGAGTGACTAATGGAGTCCATGTGGCAGACAGCGGGGAGGAATGAATAGATGCCGCCTGAATCATTTACCCACATGGCCAAGGGAGCTGGTAACAAGGAGAAACGTTGTGCACCTTAGCTGGATCTGGATCAGTTCTCTGAGTCATTGTCTACAAGCAGACATCACACAAGGAAACAATCATCCTTCCTACAACTCGAGGGAGGCCTCTGCATGCAAAGGAGGGCTGTACTGAGATGCAGAGGGAGGGCACATCCAGACCTAAATCCTGTAGCACGGTCCCTGGATTCCACAGCACCCTGGTACAGCAGAGCTGGGATTCTGTGGGTGCTTCCTCTGAATTAAACAGTGGATGCCATTATGTAGTCTATACATATATTGTAGTAGCCAGGGCCAGGATCCCCTTGTGCCACATACTGTATAAATACAGAACAAAAAGAAGGTGCTAGCCCCAAACAGCTTACATAGACTAGAAACCGAATGAAACAGGGAAAGAAATAACACACAACAGCTCCCGCATCATTTACTCTGATCTTACATTGCACTCCCTTCACTGTCCTCACATTTTCAGCGTTCGTAATGTGCCACCGAGTTTTGTGATCACAAAAGCTGTCAGGTGAAGCGGGAGGTTTTGGCAGCTGGGTAGGAAACAGCTGGGGCTTTAGGCACCTCGACAGGCATTTTAGGATTGTGTGGTAAGTTCAACAGCTGAGTGGTTTTACTAAAGTTCTCAGCAGCGAAATAGTAAATACACCTCTACCCCGATATAACGCTGTCCTCGGGAGCCCAAAAATCTTACCGCGTTATAGGTGAAACCGCGTTATATCGAACTTGCTTTGATCCGCCAGAGTGTGCAGCACCGCCCCCCCCCGGAGTGCTGCTTTACCGCGTTATAGCCGAATTCGTGTTATATCGGGCTAGAGGTGTACCATGAGGGTTCAGAGTAATGTCACAGTGAGATGAATGGGGCAACTCCTCAGGCGGTCTATGGACTCAAACCACTGCACTGGTTACACGCAGTTCACATTTGCAAGGAAGTCTTCACAAACACATGGCGACTCTTATTTTAATGAACGCTTAGGTGCGGACTCTGCAGCTGGGAATAGCACAACTCCACGCTGCTGCAGCATTCAGCAAGCATGCCGGCCTCACCCCTCTTCCAAGCGCTTGCGGCTCGCTGGACTCTCCAACCAATTTGATACCTTCCCCTCCAAGCCCACTACTAATTCGCTCCCACCCCCTGCTTTAACCACCTGTCCCTTTTACCATGCACCTCCCCGCTCCTGAAGTACCCTTAGTTCACTGATCAGCGACAGACCCTCCAGCGTGCTCCAGACGCGGCCCTAGGGAGCCCACCGAACCCCCTGATGGGCACCAGAGAGAGGTTCAAAGACCCAGCCAGCCCCCTGCCTCCGAGCTGGGCATCTGGGCAGGGAGCTGCAGCCTGTAAGGGTGTGTCTGCGTGTGGACACGGGCTAGAATGGGTGTTGCACAATGATCCTGCCACGGCTCTTGCCGTCACCCCCGGCAGTGCCAGCCCCATCCCAGCTCCCTCGCCCGCCCCTCCGGCCAGGAGAGCTCCCTTCCCGCGGGGCGGTTACAGACACACCTCGGGCCAGGGCCAGCCCGGGCCCCGTTCCTCCCCCTCCCGGCCCGGCCACTCGCCGCCCCCCTGCCGCCGCTGCAGC